CTTTTCATTGCACACCTTTCAGGGCAGGGGAATTTCCCCCCTCCTGGGCTTCTTTGGGGGAGACAGAAGAGTCTTGCCTGCTTATTGAGAAGCAGCCCCCTCCCCTTTATTCAGGAAGGAAAAGGAGGAGAAAAGCTGCCCCCCCATCCATGATTTCACTTTGAGTTCATTCTCTCCTTGTTATTTCTCATTTGGTTTGTGCCCACCCCCTCAGCAAACTTGGCAGGGGGAATATTCAAGCCGGGTGAAGGAACTCCGGGCTAAGGGAAGAGTAGGGAAGGCTGACCATTCCCTCAAAAATGCTCTTTCTCACTCCTCTCTGGTGCATTGTTGCACGGGCGGTTCCAGCCCGCTCCTCTGCAGAGATTCTGGGGGCCACAAAGGAGTCATGGCAGGCCACGTAAGGCCCAGGTGGGCGTCACGTTTTGCACCCCCAGAGTAAAGATTCTGAGCAAGAAATCCCTTTATTGGGTTGGCTCAGACTTGGGCAAGCTTTAGCCCCAGGGAGGCATTCTCTGGCTGGAGGGGAAGAAAGAGGCCACCATGGTGTTTCCATGGCTGGTGGATCCTTGGGAGGGACTCTTTCCAGAGCTGGGGAGGGGGGCAGGCTTGCTGAGTGCCTCAGGTCACTTTTCCCCAATAGTTCCAGATGCTGCCACAATAGATTGAGCGGGGAAGAGTTGGGGGTGTTTCTTGGCCCCCATTAAGGCTCATGTGATTGAAAGTTACATCTAGATCGTTCAGTGCTTGAGGGCAAATCCCTGTTCCACATGCGCTTCTGGCCCTGAGAGTAGAAGAACCCCCTAGAAGACTCTGATCCACACATCACAGGCAAGTTGGTCAGGATAAATCTAAAGCCAGGCTAGGAATGTCCAGATGGGGTGGGGTGCTGGTTGCATAAAAAGAGTAGCGCCATTTGCAGAGAAGGGGGGCTTTTCCACACTGACTGGTTGACTGTGGGTCTGACCTTCATGGTCAAAGAGAACCCTGGCTGGTGGGAGAGACTATCTGGGAACCTTGTGCCCAAGCACTCTGCAAACGTCTGGGCCAGGCTGCAGTACTGAATGGATTGTGCAATTGTTAACATGCGTGTGGCATTCTGAATATTTTCCCCCCTTTTATGGCCTCTGCTCTCCCCCACATGCAACATGCAAGTGGCCATTCTTCTTCTGGCCGTCTTCTTCAACCCAATCTTTCTGGGACTGTCCAAGGAGGCTCTCCCATTTTCCTTGGTGGGGCAACCCTCCACCGAACAGGCACACACAGCCCCTCTTGGTGGTTTTAGCCCATTCACTTGGCACGTGGTTCCTTTGGGTTCAGGAAGGAGACGCATTTGTGGGGATATGTTGGCAAATGCTTAGGAGTAACCACGTAGGGTACCTTGGCTTTTGTCCATGGGGGGGGAGAGGAAGGACAGTGTCGATGGGTGTGAGATGGGTGTGCGCGCCAAGCGATGTTGCTGATTCCACGTCTATTATGGCATCTGCTTTCTTAAGAATTGAACACCGAATGCAGGACGTTGATTTGGTGAAGATGTGACTTCAGGGTTTATTGTTGCCGCTGAGTTTGGGGGAAAAGATTCTGATCGAAGAGATCTTCTCTCCTGCAAGGGTTGATGCCAACAGAAGAAGGCAAAATTGCCCTTCTTCTGCCCACCCCACCCCTCAGTTTTAGTGGAATGCTTCTATTTCGACTGCTAGGCCATTGCTTTTGTTTCATTGATCTTGACTCACAGGGTCTTGGCCAGGCAATGCCAGGAGCCCCTCCCCCTTAAGTCCTGCATGAGTTTTTCCTCCTTCCCTCCACCCCCCACCCCAAGAAAATCCACTGCTCCTCTCTAGTGCAACCGTCCCCAGGGAGTATTTATGAACATTCTGTGACACCGCGTCAGCTGCACCCACGGGCCAGAGAGGAGGGTGGATTTCAGCAGCGGATGAAGATCATCTTGGCGAATTCAGCTCAAAATCCGTGGGCATGTAGTCGCTGTCCTCGGGGTGGGCTGCCTTGTTCCTTCTAGCTCGTGCCTTCTGCCCAGCCAAACACGTTCCTTCATCTCAGCTACAAGCAGGGTGCCCAGTGGAGAGTTTCTTGGGCTGGCTGAAAAAAAGGAGTTGTACTCTATCATGGATAACCATCTTCTCGCTTGAATTTTGTTAATGGCAAGCCGGTACTCCGAGAAAAGAAAGCGAAAGAAATACGAACTTCCATTTGGTCCGCTCTTTAATAAAGAGAGCTGCCCTTGTGAACAGAGTCCTGCGAATTTATTCAAAGTTGTGGGATGCTAAGGGCCGTACAGAACATGCAAACAATTTGCAAAGGACTTCTGGTCGTTTATGGGGGGGCAGGTTGGCTTAAGAGAGGCCACTTCCCCACCACGGCTGCAAGGCAGGATCGCCCCGTTCTTTTAATATCGCTGCTCCTGATATTTGCAAACTCTTTCCCCCAGGGAGTTCTGGAACCTTGCAAGAAATCTGGGGTTCGCCTCTTGTATTAGCCGTGATTTCCTTCCTCACCCTCTCTGTGGTGGCCCGAATATAGGTCCTGCTTCATCCCTCTCTCTTTTTTGTTGTTAAGCCAGCTTTTGAGCTACGTCGAGCCACTTCCAGCAAAAATTTGAGCACATGAAAAAGTGGTAGGCTGTCAGCTACCAGCTACTCTTGGCAAGCTGATAGAGATGGCTGTTTTGATTTCTGCCCATTTTGGGGACACCCCTGTATTTTTGTAGTGCTTGGGCAACTGAGGGGCAACTGAGATGGATTAGCTAATTCTGACGTGTGAATCTGGGACCCGGATTTAATTCAGAATTTCCAAAAAGGCTTTTGAATCTGCACCTGACTTAACTGTATCCCCCCCCCACCCCCGCTTTTCAGGTCCCTGTCAGAAGCTGATTGGATAATCCGATGAAGGACAATTTTAAAAGCCTGTGCAGATATGTTGAGACAGCTGGATCAATAATTCACACATTAGCACTCCCACGAGAGATATTTATCTCTCTCTCTTTTTTTTTCCTTCGGTTTTAGTCATTTTGGTAGAATGAGTAAATAATTATCAAGGGAGAGAATCAAATGAAGCTTTGCGTGGAGGTTTTCCCACATAGTGGCTTCAAAATTTGGAAAACGGAGAGGAAGTTGTAGAAATTTCCTCCCCGTGTTTGCTCTCTGAATGGAGACCGTGTGTGCGCCGTCCTTAAAAGCTGTACGGTATATCCTTTTTAAAATGAATCGCTATATATTCATTTAAACTTGATTAATTATTGCAGACTGAAGTGGTTTTAGTGAATGATTGACACTGTCCTTTAATTCTTTCCAAGGGTTTCGCTTGTTTGTGGGGGTGGGTGGGTTTTAAATTGTCTTTAGTTAGTGGGGGGGTGTGAAGAGAGAAAGTAATTTCGAACTCAGATTTTTCTTTATGGGGCTTGGATTTTGAATGGTCTACAAAAACAG